GTTGATGTTGTGAAGCAGGCTCAGGGGGAAGGGATTTGTCTCGGCCGCTCACCCCCCGGCTCTACATGTTCGCTGCACTGAGGAGGAGACGGAAGAGGAGCCAGCCCCCCTCCCGGCCCGGATTATTGTTGTTATATTATCTCCCCTCCTCCTCCTGCTCCGCGGCGGCGGCGGCGGCCCAGCAGCGGCGGCGGCTCCTCTGAGGAGGGAGGGGGGCGGATTTCTCTCCCCCTCTCTCGGATTCTCGTTGGATTCAGACGCCGATTTGCTCAGGTAATCCCCCCTCCTTGTCTCCCCTTCCCCTTCCTGCGCTCTCCAGCAGCGGCCCGGGCCTCCCAGCCCTGGCGGCCCGGCGCTGCCGGGAGCCGGGGGGATTCGCTCTTCTCCGGGAAGCGGCGAGTAAGTGGCGAGCGGAGGGGTTTATTTCGCCTCCCCCCGCTCCTGCTGCCCCAGGGTGGGCGGCGGAGATCGGCTCGTCCCGGGCTGCCGGGAGGCGCAGGCCCGGTGGAGGGCGCAGGCCCGCCGGCCAGCGCCTTCACTCCAGCTCGGGGATTAGAGAGGCGAAGCGGCTTCTCCGTGACAGGCCTCAACCCGGGGAGCAGCAGCGGCAGGAGGAGGAAACAATGCAATTAGCAGCAAACGTGCCCTGATCCTTTGCCATATTTACAACTTCTCTAGGGCCGGGGGGACGGTCCCAGCGCAGACAGTCCTCCGCGAAGTGGGAGAGCGGTGTGAGAAGCCGGGAACGAGAGACAATGTAAATACCCAGAAACAAATAGAGCCATTATCGTCCCTGGGATCTTCTCCTGGCACAAACTCCAGGGTGAACCTGAAGAAGTTAATGCGACTAGATTTGTATTCTTTAAAGAATGAATTTCTGAATTCCCTACCAATTGATTAGTGTGGCAATGTCCAAGTTTATTTATAGCCTAAAACTAGCTCTTGTGGAATGATTGACACAAGGTGAGCACCTGCAGACCCCAGGAAATACACACAGACAAATGTTTGAGGTTGGTTACTAACATAATCTCCACGTTTACATGCTCAGTACATTACGTAAATATTAATATAGAAGAAATCCAGGGGTATGCTTTCTAATAAACTGAAGAAAAGGGAAAGGGGTCTTTACAAAGTGTAAAACTATGACATTTCAGGGATCAAGGTAAAGATGGGCCCTTGCCCAAAGTATTTTAAGGATCAAGATGCATTAAAATTGCTGAAAAGTAAAGAATGTTAAAAAGTGCAATCTTTTCTTGTCAGGACAGACCACTTTGAGGACCTGGGGTTGTTATTGGCTGTTTGTGTCCCTGATATTTGAATATGTAATTAGGTGTCATCTTAACAGGTCAAATGTGTCTGTAAATGGCTGGTGATTAAGTATCCCTTTTTAATAAATAAATGGTAGCAAATTTAAGAGTAAAGTAAACCTTGGATTTCTGTGTGCTGAAGTTAAGAATAGTGTTGAAAATCTTAATAAATTTAAAGAAAACACTGTTAACTGATTAAAAAATACATATTTCCAGTTCAGCTGTACAGCTAGAGGGGAATTTAGCCTAATCCTGCTGTTGTAATACAAAGTTTCATATTTAATATTGAAAGGAAATTTATAAGTGGCTAATGTGTAGCAACCTAGCATAATCTCCTGCCCCACTATTTTGTAGTGAGTTTTTTTTTTTTAGTTGTTCAGGGAGATCTCTGTTAACAGTATGTTGCTAATGTGTCTATAAAAGTAACTTTTTGGTGTTTTGTGCTTAGGGTCTTACTTATAAAAGATGTACTATCTTGCCTCTAAGCGTCCCAATACATGTTTAAAAGGGTGAAGTTAATATAGCTGTCACGTAGAAGGCGTGTTTTTAATGCTGTAAATCCGTGTAGTAGTCAGTAGCGTGTCCGTGATTTGTATTGGTCAGGGAGCAGTTTGAATTTTAAAAAGCCTGAAGATCCTGCTGAGCCCCAGCCCTGGCCTCCCTCCCTCCCACTAATCTCCCATTCCTGTCTTTGTGCTGCCTGGTCCTGTTAGACACTGTTTGCAACAGGGCCTCAGGCCTACATGCGTGGAGAGGAACCATTTACACTCTGAAAAAGCAGCTTTTATTTTTAAACTTTATGAATTGCAGAGGGAGCCACGAGTGTCTCTAATTGTCCCTCTCTGTGTGTGTAACTGAATCGCTGTTTTCTTTTGGGCCATAGCATGTGTGGAGGCTGAGTGTAGCAGTAGTTTACTGGAAAGAAAGGACTGTGTAGAAATAGTAGTAGCACTTGGGTAGTTTTCATCATCAGGAAGCGACATTAGTTGTAGTGTTTCTTTCCTTGTTTGCTTAAAACAGGTCTCTAGTATGTGCAAAAACTTAGTTGCTGTTAAATCATCTTGATTTGTGCACTTTAAATTTTAAGGATGTTTGCTTTAAGTATGTAAGATGAGCTGGAATTGAGGTGTTGTAGTTATGTAGTTCCTGTCAAGTCTCTCCCATAAGATGTTCAGCAGCCTTTAAAAAAAATAAAAAAACATGCATTTCTAGATATTTTTATCTTATGTATGTAAAATAAGAGACACTTATAGACATCTTTAATTTTAGCTGTGTATTTGTGTTTTGGACTTATTTTTTCTTTAAGACATGCAGTGTTGTAGATTAAATATGAATTATCTGGTTCATCATTGGCTACTTAGTGATAAGTTTCTTAGGCTCAGAAAAATGCCTTTAAATGTCTGAAAATATAAAAAAAACCCCACTTCTTAGTAAAGTATGTAGAGTAAGATTTTTTTTTTCCTTTTTCTTGTTATTGCATGTTTGGTATGAAACAAAACACTTCTGGTTTTCCCCTACTTTTTGTTTAAATTTCATACCTGCTTGATGGTAGGAGATTGCATATATGTCCAAGAAAATATCTAAGTGACATATATGTATGACCAAAAAGAAAATGTCTTTAAAAAGAAGATAAATGCAGGTATTTAAATAAAGTATATTAACAGAACACCCGTTAAATAAAAAGAAATGCAAAACTCCAGAACTCTTTGTTCAGAGATGATACCTTTTATTAGACCAACTAAGAAATCGCAAAAAAGCCCCACAAACCCCCACCCAAATGGTTTGTTGTTTTGTTTTTTGGTTTAAATTTGTATTATTTGTAAGGCTTCTAAGGTTACTCTGCCTGAAATGAGAGAGAGAGAAAAATATTTTTTTAAGATTGTCTGTTTGTTTTGTGCATTTGATAATGCACTGTGTATTGTAGTTTATTTCCCATGTTTGGTCAGGTTTTTTCCTTTTCTCATTTTTGTGGTCTTATATCAAGTGTGATTTCCAGGAGATAAATGGCAAGGAGTTCGAAGGAGTGGTATATATTCTGAAACTGCCTTTGGTGTTGTTTTTGTGGTTTTAATTACCTGGAGCTCAAGTCAAAGGTATAACACTACCATGAATTATTGTTTGCTTACCTTTCAGATTTTTTTAAACTTCAGTATGGTTTATGTAACTGTGAAAGTAAAACACAATTACAGAAACAAAAGTCTAGCAGGATATTCAGTTTTTGGTCCCAATCCTGCAGTTGGTTTACATGCATACTGACCCTTGCACCCATGTGTTGTCCCAATGACCTCATTAGGACTCTGTTGGGCATAATGCCTATAAGGATCTAATTGCAGGATCAAGGCATTAGATGTTAATTTCTTTGGTCATGTTTTCTGTATATGTATGATGATTGGGACAATGCAATCTTGATCCTGATTGGGTCTTCAGGAAGTAGTCTGAGCCACGGATTGAAATGAGAAAGCTCTTGGTGCAGCTTAAGACGCAGAAAGCTATTAAGTTAGACACTTGCACATATTTTGTAATACCAAAGTGATGACATTGAATTTCTATTCCAGGCTATACCAGAAACAAACAAAAATCAGTGGGAAATTAATACTACTTCAGAAAGAGGAATTAATTTTTTACATTTTCAGTTTGTAAAAGCAGAGAAGAAAAGTGTTAAGTCTAAAAGTTCAGTTAAGTCATCTTATTCTAGGGAATGCATCTGCTGGGTACATGATCTTTGTGCACATGTATGTTTGCATTTGGTTAGTAGTAATTGACTTAAATTTTCAGTTAAGCAATGCAAGACTCTGGTATGATGACTTCAGATTTAAGTGTGTGGGAAGAGGGGGTGGGAGAAGTGGGAAAGATTAACCAATATTAGAATAGCTATTTTGTTTCACAGAATGTGAAACCACAGAAAAACATTGTAGCATCTAGTGGCTGAAAGAATTGGCAGTTTGAATCTGATACTGTTTGGTTTGAATCTTGTGCTTCCCTTTTCTTTATTAGAAAACTTACTATTCAGGTTAGCTCCTGGTTTGGACGATCAAACAAACATGAAAGTTCAATTTGTAGAGACATCTACAAGGGTATTATTGATATGGGTTCTCTGTGGAAACACCCTGCATAAAAGATGACCCTTTTAATCATCAAGAAACCCTTTTAAGAGGTAATTATTAAAGGCCTGTACTCTGAAGACTTAGTGCTCTATTTAGTTAAATTTGTCTCTCTTTATTTCCTTTAGAGTTA